TCAACAAAAGAACACTGGGTGGACTTCCACGTAATACGGAAAAGAATCCGAGAGTGGCTCATGTAAATGCAATAACAACAAACTATGAGCAAATTTTCGTTCCTTTGAGTCCAGTCCAGAAAGAATAATCAAAACAGGTGCAAAGAAAAGGAGAAGAAAGTCAAGAATTGCAAACAGTGACGAAAACTCGATGAGTTCCTCGTCTGAAGAAAAAAATAACTCTCCTTTAAAACCATATCAGACTCCCTTGCCATTCCCTGGTCAGGCCATCCGAGATAGACAAATTGAAGAATGTAAGCAGTTTTTAGAACACATAAAGGCACTCCAAGTGAACATTCCATTCATTGAAGCAATAGTACAAACACCAAGGTATGCAAGTTTTCTTAAAGACCTCCTCACGAATAGAAGAGAGATGGAAGAGGTGATGGGTTTTGAGCAAAAGAACATCCTATGTGCACATGCAAAACCCTAAAGCTTTGGATCTAGGTTTCTCTATTGTACATGCCAATTTATCCAAAGCTTGTAAACCCTAATCTAGCGTACAACAAAACTAATTGAATATCAAATAAACAAGTTTGATGAATAACTTGATTATTGATTGTAGATCTTGAAGCTTTGAGAACCTTAGCACCCCAAATTTTGTGCCTCTAATGAATCACAAACACCAAAAGCAATTGGATGAAGCAAGAGAGAGAAGGGAGAGGGAAAAATCAGCTCCAAGACTTCTAGGGTTCAAGTGTTAGCCGAATTCTCATGCCCTAGGGGTCTTTATATAGGTGTGGAAATTAGGGTTTGAGTCATTATCCTTATCTGGTTACTTAGCCACCAAGCAGCCCAAAGATAATTTTAGAACCCTACCTTTGGACGAATTCCTAAGGCCTTATCCTTTGAATTTGTGACAACCCATTATTTTCTTCTTGAAAAGTCAACCCGAGTAAACTACAAGAAAAATACCCTTTAATGACGCGCGAACAATGACACTCGCTGATTTACGATACGCATTTTTGTGTGTCCTTAAAAATAATGTCAGTCTTCCAAAATTTGAAGGATAGAGGACACTCATTTGTGCGTGCCCTAGAATTAATGTCCAACGAAAAAAAATTACAAACACGGAAGGCACCTAAATTTAAGTGGGCGTCGTGTATAGATGTCGTTTTATAAAATTTTAATACGCGCGTCCCCTTTTGATACAACTAAGGGGGAAAACCAAATCCCCCAAAAATTCAAGTACCCCGCCTTCCCCAAAAATCGAACCTCACGATATCTTTCACGGAGTCGGCGATTGGTGGTTTACGTCTCCTCACACTCAAATCGTTGGCGATTTTAAGGTTTTTGTCCCCGATATCAAAGAAGAACTAGGGCTTTTATGCTCTGGACCTCAAAAGTGCGCACCCATGAACTAGGGCTTTTATATCGTTGTGTTCAGGAAAAACAACGATATCTGCTCTTCCTCCTCGCCATACAACTAATTCTTCGTCATTTCCTTGTTGAATATTGCTGAAGCGTGTGATGGTTAACCCTTGAAGAAGTTATGAAGAGAAGTCGTAATCTGAGGGTGCATCTTTTAGTAGAGATGGTCTGGCAAAGATCTTATATTCCCACCTATCTGAATGGTAATCTGAGCCTAAATCGACTCACGAAACATTCTCACAGAAGCTTTATCAGACATTCAAATCTCATCAACGGTTTTTCAAACCTCCAGTTCTCGCCAAATAATTCCACGAAGATTCTTTCTCCGCCTGTAATTTTCAAAAGCCCCATCATTCACTTTCTCTCTCCATCGCCGGCATAATTTCTTAGGGTTCTACAAGGGTTTCTCTCTAAATTCTTCATCAATTCAATCACCATGTGAATTGAAATTATCTTCTGGAACCCTAACTCTCGGAGTAACTCCTCATTCTCATTCGGGTAAGAACATCATTAAAGTTTATGATATGTGTTGGTTTTACATCTTAACTTTAGATTATCTATTTTGAATTTTTAATTATTTGGATTCTAGAGTTTTGTTTCTTTAACCTTTGTGTTTACTACTACTTCTGTAAACCATTATACCAATCTGTTTACAACTTTACCTACGTTTACACATGAGTCTCTCCAGTTTTTATTTTTGTTTGTTCACTTGATTTGTATGATTACGGACTCGTGCTATGACTCATAAAGTGTGAAATATTCTTATTGATATCGATTTTAGTTCCTTTTCCACTAATTGGCCACAATGAAAAGCTTCTCAATGTGCGCCTAAATGCTCAGTTGATTATAGTGAAGTGGAGTTTTGACTTTTGACAGTCTTGTTTTTGATTTCCTTAAACTTTTTTCATAATGTAATTGAAAATCAAAATCTTTGGCGTTTTTAGAGGATTATAATTTGTTGAACAGCTAAAAATGTTTGACCACATATTTCAGAAAATCTCTTTCAATAGTGATGCATTTGAAATTTGGAAGTTTTCAATTTAAAAAACGATATGAACAATAATCTTACACACGTAATCAATTCCAATCATCTCTAGGATTCTAGAGCTTTTTGTTATGTTTCAACTTTCAACTGTAGGAGATATTCAGGAATGCTTTTTGACTCTTCTTTTATGCTTTAAACGAGTCAGGCCTCTATCATTGTACTTTCCAAACACAATAAATTAATGATGATATCATCTTAAATATGTTTATGCGGCTCATAATGAAGTTATAGGATCTGTTAATAAAGTCACGTAATTGGTCATTACCATAAAAATGATCATAGAAAAATGACCAGGTAATCCAATTGTCGACCAAGACCTCCCATGTCTGTCATATTCCTAAAGGGGGTAATATGGTAATTTACACGCTTTCTGTGAAAGAAAATTAACCTTTAAATATTAACAACACTAGAGTATAAAGTCTATTGTAGGATGCTTTGACAAATAAACCATATAATCAAATAACGATTGAAAATTTTACCTAACAAGTCATAAATATTTTATTTTAGAATATATGCTTTTATTATTTGGCTTAATAGTTTATTATTGCAGTGTTAGAAACATTTATTCATCTTTTTTTTTTCACTCTAGGTGTAGGAAATTACAAAAAATAAGGAATACGGTAGCTTAAAGATAGATTTACCCGTGATCCAGTTAAAATAACTCTTCAATGTAAATTATTTCATTGTTAGACAAGTGAATCTTCATATTTCTCCCTTACTGAGGTTGAAAGGATTCGTGAGAGTTTATGGAGGAAACTTTGCTGCAAAGGTATGTTAATTATCAAGATTGATGCAATAATTTCATTATTTGATTGTGTTTTGGATGCTTCACAATTTTTACATATTACCTTTTCATTCAAGAAAAAGGTTTTCACATAATTTAATTTTTGTGGTTTATAATTCCACATAATGTGTTCGATGTAATGCCGGATTGAGATTATTCATATTTATCTTACCTAGATTCAAAATTTGATCCTTACCTTTTCAGTCATGGTCAGTGTAATGGATTTAAGAAGTCTTTAAATTTCAAATTAGGCAATGGAGTATATCAGGTATAAAAGAACAGTATCTGTTGAGGAGGTAATTTTGATGATGATTTTGTGTGGGTATATATAAACTTAATGGTGAGTTAACTTTTTTGTGATACCCAAACTTAGATGTGGATCCAAAACTGTTTTGGTATTAGGGGAGAAGTATATGAAGGTCGTTTTCAGTCTGCCCAGTAATAGACCCTTTGATATTGTTGAGCTTGTAATCAGGAGACAACCTAGGAGGTAAGGGTAATCATTTTCTATTATGGAAAAGGGCATTATGGGTAATTGGCAGATATGGATGCTCAATATAAAATATGTTGTTACTTGGTGTGCATGTTGATGGTCAATTTACTGGATTCCCCAAATCAAGAGAAGATTTTAAAAGTCATGTAATAACAAAAGAAGAATTAGTACCAGATATTGATCTTGAAACGGTGGAAAATGGCAGATGACTACTCGGGGAGTGACTTGTAGTTTATTATTGTCTCTCTCTCTCTCTCTCTCTCTCTATATATATATATATATATATATATATATATATATATATATATATATATGTGTGTGTGTGTGTGTGTGTGTTTCGTTACTAACAGTTGTGTTTTTTGTATGTTGAAATTACAGAATCTTTCTTTGGCAGCTGCAAATCATCCAATAAGAGAAATTTTGGAAAATGAAAAGAAGGTTTGGTTCCTTGACGGTTATTAATTACAATAAAAACTTTTATATACATAAATTGTCTAACTTTTTAAAGGATGTTAAAAGGGTTAAGACCATCCTGTCCCTATACATTACTCACTTTTTTTTTTTTTTTTTGCTTTTTTGTAGGTTGATTGACTTCAACATGTGGTTATATGTTCGTCTTCCTCGGGTAAAAACCTTTATGAATTAGTTTAATTGCTTTTATTATCAGAGAACTTTTGATTTCCTTTAAAAAATCAACTGGTCATAAACCTCATAGGATCATATTCTACAGGTATCAATCATATCACTTTCTTCTTTTTCCTGCTAAAACTTGCAGAAAGTTTCTCATTGTTGTATTACCACAGGGATGGTTTGAGTGAGGGGTAGTTTAGTAAAGTCTTGATGAGTGAAATGGATAAAATCCGGAAGGTATATGCCACCTGTAACATTCATTGTTCCTGGCATAGTTGGCTTCATACTGATTGATGTTGGAGGGCAGACAAGATTCACCAAAACATTTAGTGCTAGCATAGTATCGAGTATCTCCTGATTACCCCAGACATGCTTGAATAGAAACCTCCATCCACACCCACGAACCAGAGAGCCATTATGTGTGAGTGAAGAGTTTAACTCTGCATTTTCAAGTAGAATTGAATAAGGTGTATGCTGTTAACATCATGATTGAAACATTAAAAGGCTATACACTTTATTTAATGTTAGTTTCCCAGATTGGAACATGGGTGCCTGTTTATATGGGTTTGAGGGTTTGAGCTTCTTCAAAGCCGTGTCATTGCTCTGTTTGTTGTTGGTGCTTCTCGCGTCTTCCAGATATGCTTTGGAGTTCATTACTGGTATTTTTCTAATTTTCTATTCCTCTAATCTTTATACATACACACACCTTTTACCTTTGTTTCTTGAACTTTTGAGTATTCTTTATCTGCATAGGTATCTTGGACACTGTATAAGTTATGCGGTTGTGGGGTCCGTCTTACTTGGCACAGGTAAATTATAAATATTATTATTGCTACTAGAAAATAAACTATGAAGAAGCTTTACTTTTTTTACTTTTTTTTTTTTTTTTTTTAGTAGCTTGTCACATGGATTGAGCATCTTTCAAGAGGGTTATTGTGGTGGGAAAGATACTTTAAAGCTTGAGACAAATGCTGAGTCATCAAAGGTTTGTTTTGTACAATGTACATATCAACACATGACTGAATGATGGATTATTTTCGTATAAAAAGAATTTCATAATTGGTGTAGGGACCAGAAGGTGAAGAAAGTGCTGCACCAAGCTAAAGATTGTTGTCCTCTGAAGGGTAATTCACTCCTATATATCATCATCTTCCTCTTTGCTTCTTTTACAGAATTCCATTTGATTTTAGATTCCAATTCCATTCCAGACTAAGAATGTAATTGATTGATTGATGTAGGGAGAAACTGAATTCAATGAACCTTCTGTTGTACTTGTACATGGTGCCAGTAGCTGTAGTGATATTGCACCTGCAAGAAAAGATATCAACATTGTGTGGTACCTACTTTTCAACTCTCCAATGACATATTGTGTAAATTTGACCAATTTCTTGGTTACTAAGCACACAAGCTCCTTAACTCTCCAGGTCTCATTCTTTGAAATTATTTGTATATTATATAAGTATTAATAATAGAATTTGGATCATGTGTTGGGAAATGCAAAAGGAGCAGTGGCTGTTGCGGTGTCGATTTTGATATTCAAGAATCCGGTGTCGGTAACATGGATGCTTGGATACTTGCAGATGGTGAAGAACATGGTGTATGCGGTAAACAGTTACAATATAGGTAAGTTATAAACAATTTGTATTTTTTAATTTTTAATATATTGTGTTTTGTTTATTTATTTTTATTACATTTATGTTATATGCTACACAGGGAAGAAGAGTATTATACTTGAGGTTAGTAGTGGACAAAGGAGTTGCATTGGAATCACTAAATCCTCCAAAAGTGGCAGAAAATCCGGATTGGAATCAGCATCTTATGTTCTCAGAAACCGGAAACAACAGAACAGGTAACAGTTTTGGTCCCTGCAACAGTTCTGGTCCCTACGGTTTTGGCCCATTTATAGTTTTTGTCCCTCTCTCTCTGTAGCTAGTGTGGTATTATGACTTCCTTCTCCCATTCTTTCTGCCCTCTATGATGAACCTCCCCCAACCTGAAATGTGGGAGCAATGGTGGGTACTAAATCGTCATGGTCGCGATTAAGAAGCAAACTCAGAACAGCGTTGCTGGTGGCTACCAGATCGACCATGGTCAATCAGCCCAACTTTGTGAGTATGATACAGGCTTTGAAGAATGGATCTTAGGTTTTGCTGGATGAACTCAATCTCGCTCCTCAATCTGTTCTAGAGGTTTGACTTTTACTTATGTCCTATTAATTTTCCTGTCGAGTTTTAAATTTTGCCAATATCTATACTAACATATTTGTTGAAATAGGGTTTGAATGCTATTTTAGATCACCGAGCAGAAGTTTTTATACCCTTCATATTTCAGAGTTTATGCTTGTCATTGGCCCCACAATTGAGTTTACAGAACTTTAGGACTCAAGTAGATGAAGACCAACAGGAACTAAGTGTGTAAAGGGATTATTGGTCCTACCCAGTATGAACTTGTGTTTGCAGGTTCATCCAAAAGTGTCAAATAGATCATCACGATTTGTATAGGAGCTCATCTCCATGATCTTATTCACTGTTGCTATTGGCTTAATGTGGTAAGTGTTTATCTTCAGTTATATGCACATGCCATTTACATGGGTTTGCTTAAACCCAACCCATCTATTTTGATACCTATACAGTTGGTGGAAAAGCATGTTACATGATAATATTTTTATTTTTCTTTTAAATTATTCTTGAAATATAGTTGATTTTCCTTGTTCAGGGTAATGGGTCCTGCTGCACTTCAGAAGTATATTGGTGGTTTAGGTGGTATAGGTTTGTGCTTTCTACAAATGTTCAAAAAGTTATATTGGTTTAGGTGGAATTGATTCCAATGTGTTTTCTGAAGTTTGTAGATTAATTTTTTTTAATCTTTAATAATCAAACTCTTGGTTTAATGTGTTTGTTTTAATGGCAGTCGTTGATCGAAGGAAACCAAATTGAGGAAATATATGATATGGATGATTTTTTTAACATGATATCTGAAACAAGAAGGTGCCCCTTAATAGCAATGTAGTATTAGGTTATATAGTTAGGGAAAACCTCTTAATAACAATGTACAATCAGACCCCTTAATACCAATGTATTACAATTTTTAGACATGATGTTATTGGATGAAATTGATTGTTTTGGTATCTATTTGTTTCTATATTTTTGTATTATGCGTAAATGAGTATCGTAAAGAGGCGTCGTAAATTCATATCGTAAATGGCTGCTGAAGTTTATGACACGCAAATATGTGTCATCTTCATTTATGACAAGGGCTTTAATGATACGCAATGCATGTCATAAATGCGCGTCGTAAGGTTACGACACGCAAATGCGTGTCGTCTTCCTTTATGACAGGGCCTTCCTTGATACGCATTGCGTGTCGTAAATGAGCGTCGTAAATGCGCGTCGTCTATAGACGACGCGCAAAACAAAAGCGTGTCGTCTCTCGTTATGACAGGGTCTTTCTTGACACGCATTTGCGCGTCGTCTGAGCGTTTTACGACACGCATTGTGCGTCGTAAAAGGCTGTTTTTCTAGTAGTGTATGTCAAAGTTAAAACTTGGGTCAACTAAAGTCAACTTAAATCTTATTTTATCTTGAATGAGTTGATTAATATTTTATTTTAAGTGTTTACACCTTGTATTCAAGGTGTTGTATGCTTAATGAAGTGAATCAAGTTGGACCGAGAAACCCATGCGAGACCAAAACCTTCAGACCATACACTTCGGGCCGCAAAAGGTTCACGACCGTGAACTCCTCAGACTTTGAACCCTCACAGCCGTAATCATGTTCTCGGCCAGCACTGCCTTCGGACCGTAAATGAGGTTCACGGTCGTGAACCCTTCGGACCGTGAACCCTCGTATATATAATAGGGTGTTTCCATTTTCTCTTCATTTTCTCATATTCTAGCCGTGAACCACCCTATTTCTCTCAAGTATCATCAAGTGAAAGCTCTCTTTCCACTCCAAAAACGTGAGTATCTCATCCCTCTTCTTGTAGTCCCTTTGAAACACTTGATTCTAGCCTAGATGCAACACTTCTTTTCATGTTCTTCATGATCTTCAAGAGTTGACGGCCGTGAACCCTTCATGTTGGGCCGTGAACCCTTCATCTTGGCCATGAACACTTCAAGTGTTCTTCATGTTCTTGGGCCGTGAACCCTCCTTTGGGACGTGAACTCCTCTTATGTGGCCGTGATCATCATTTAACCTTCCATTTGTGGTTCTAACACTTTATTGAAAGTGTTTCCTACTTTTTAGAGTTGTTTCCCTTACTTGTAGTAGTTATATACACTAATTGTATGCCTATATATGTCCATATATGCGAAATAGGATCCATTTGTGCTCGGGACTTCACTTGGCATACCAAACATCCTATATCATATCTTCAATCAAATCTCCAACATCAGGTGAGTTCATACCCCTATAATCTACCTTTTAAATTATTTTAAATGCTTTTAGGGGGGGAATACAAGTTGAACAAAATTTAATTATGTTAATAATTGCATGTGATATCAATCACATAAAAGATTTCCTTATGCTTTTAAGGATTACAAAATACTTCCATATTGACTTAAAGTCATGCGAATTCTTTTAAAGTAACCTAAACTCTTTTTAGAATATCGTTAAACTCTTTTAAATGTTTTTATAACTCTTTAAACTTATAAACTGTCAAATTCATGTTCATATATGTATAAGTATATAAATAAGACTTAAAGGGCTTAGGACTAATGAGTTGCCTTATTTCGTTTTCCTTGTTTGGATGTGGGCTTAAGGTGGGGTTATTTGTCCGAAGGCTGTTTCCTTCTTAATTATATACATTATACATATGGGAATATAAAAGGTTACTGCAGTCGGTATCATTACCTTTGTATCATTCTGAGCAAAGGGGTACATTCCGGGGAGATCATACTAATCAAATAGAACATATAAATTATAATAAGTATAATTTATGAGACAATCGAGAAATCTATTTTCTAAATAAGTTTACGAGGTCGAAACTACTTTGTCAAGAAAAGGGTATAATTCTATCTTTACTCAAACTAAAATGTGATGTTACATATTCAGGACATAGCAATACTTGGTATGTTACATTCTTGTAACCAGAGTCTCCTGGAGGGAGAGCGGGCATTGTGTGTATAGATCTATACGGGACTGACAATCCCACATCCCGACTGCTAGCTACAGTTCGACAGACAATCCATGGGGTGACAAATGTCACATATTCAGTTTCGATACCAGTAGGTCGTCGTGTTCATTCTAGTCCAGCATGGTTATAACTTTATCACATTTTAATCCTAATTAACCAGGTTAATATTAGGGTAGTTATTCCTCGGTAGTTTATATTTAAGAAATACTATTGTATTAATCGCTTTCCACAAACAAAACGGAACGGTTTTATGGGGATTTAAAACTACTTATCAGAACAGTTTTATGGGGATTTAAAACTACTTAACAGAATGGTTTTATGGGGATTTAAAACTACTTATCAGAACGGTTTTATGGGATTAAAACTACTTATCAGTTGTAAAGCAGAAAATATAGGATTTTCTGGAACGTAGTCAGTCATTTTCTTAAAACTAGTATAACATAAAGGACCTTTAGTGGTTAATTCTATAATACCTTAGTCTATAGATAAGAGTTATATATAATTAATATCCGATTGACAGTGAAATGTGTGACTTCTGCCTTACTTCCTGTTCCTTGTTTGGTTGTGGGTGTCACACCCCCAAACCAGAACGGCGGAAACGTTCGGGGGCGGAGGACGTCATATTCAGTATCATAACAATGCACAATTGTAAAACAAGAAACAACATCATCCATTGCATTAATAATATATTTAATACAAGCGTGTTCTGAATGTATTTGCATGACACCAAAAATAGAAATATCAAAATAAAAGACGAGACTTGAATGTGCTCCGTCTTCTCAAAACCTGGTCCAGTGTACCTGTCTACTGGTGACCTGAGAATACAAGTTATTTTGAAAGAGTAGATCAGCATTTAAGCTGGTGAGTTCATAAGTATTTTAGTGTCAAATTTTTGTATAAGTTTGATGAGAATGTTTGTAAGTGTTTGATGTAAAGTTTGTAAGTATTTGATGTAAATGTTTTAAGTGTTTGATGTAAAGTTTGTAAGTGTTTGATGTAAATGTTTGTATGCTTCCTAGAAAATCCTATATTTTCTACTAAAATGGAGAGTAGTCTTCTACCAAGACCCGACTGTTCTGTATGTTTGTTCTTTTGTAAAAGAGTGTGTTTTCCGAAGTATACGACTATTATTACCAGAAAATAGTTTACACCTTTTATGTGAGCAGATCACTATATGAATGTAATGGAAAAATGAAGATGTACAGTAGTATTGTATATAGTAACTGCAGATGTACTAACTACCTTAAAACCAACTTGTTTAATTAAGGTAAAATGTGATGAGGTTATAACCATGCTTGATTGACTAGTATAAAACACGACGTTCCAAAGACATCGAAATGGTGTGACATTTGTCACCCGTAGACCTACAGGTCCCACTGTAGCTAGCAACAAAGTGTAGGATGGTCAATCCCGTATAGATCTATACACAAACTCACACTCTATCTCCAGGAGACTCTGGTTACAAAACGTGACACAGAAGTATATTGCTAGGCCATGAAGTAGTGGCTCACATTAATGTTATCTTGTTCTTGTATTAGTATGTATGTTCCTTCCTGTTCTAGTGTATAGTATGCTCCTTCTGTTCTAGTGTATAGTATGTTCCTTCTGTTCTTGTTGTAGTATAACTATGATTTAACCGACATTCGGACTAGTGATCGTACCCGGAGCCCACAACCAAACAAGGAACAAGAGTCAAGGTATCTAACAATAGTCCTATGTTTGTAAAAGCATACTTATATGTAAATATATAGACGAATATGATTTGATATAAAAGAAGTTTATAAAAGCTTTAAAAGTGTT